ATCATACCTGCATCACTTAAACCTTTACTCAATTTCACCAATGATCAAATCTGCTGTGACCCTCCAATAAAGGAAAACAGTCCTAACTAGTGAATGAAAGAAAGCACAGTGTCTCCAAAGTGCCTGGCCTGAGTGAACATCCAGAATCCCAGAAAGTAAAGAAATATAAAGGAAGTCAGACTTGATTTAATTCTTTTTTACTGTAAATCTCATTTCAGAGAATGATTAACAGCACAAGAGACATAAATGGCAAAGTTTGATCAAGGGAGCTGCTGTCATAGTACCATCTAGATAAATTAGGAAAAGAATGCTTAGGTTTCTATGAAAGAAGACTAATGATGTTAAGTCAAGATGAAATAGAAAGCATTGCAGGCTGAAAATCATAAAAGACCAGCCTGCCCAGAAACCCTGAGAAACTTCCTGAACTGAAAAGTAACATGAAATGCTAAGGAATAACTTTCTGTAAGTGCTCAGTCTTGAAGTTACTCAGAAATGAAAATTTTGTGCTCCAGGCAAATAATTTGCTTTTCAGGACCTGTCAAGGCAAATGAAGGAATATTCTAGAAGCATCAGAATACAGCAGGTGTTAGTAGCAGCTCTATACATTATGGGTATTCTGCATCTGATGTGCTCTCTAATTAATGAAGATCAGTCCTTTCCTTTAGATCTGAAACAGGCCCACCAGGAAGCAAATATACCGAGTGCATAATAGGAGAGTGTAAAACCTACAGCTGGTAAATGTTTATGTTATTCATCTAATCCATTTGTAAGAAAGGAGGCATGGAAGTAATGTAGAAGGATAAGTAGTATTAGCTGAAAGTGGGGTGGAGATATGTTTCAGAAGGTAAGAGATATCTTTAACAAAAAGGGTCTTTTTAAAACAGAACAAAACAAAAGCTTTAGTGGTTAAATGTGCATTCCCGGAAGTCCAGAGAGTTTAAATGAGAATAAAATTTTCCCTTTATCAGGAAATCTTGAATTATATCTTCATTGTTGGCTTACTGATCTTTCTTAGAAGGCCAAAGGACCAGCTCTTCTGTTAAAAGCTTCAGATCTAGATTATAATACAGAATAGCATTTCTGCAGCTAAGCACTTACTGTGGTCAGTACTAAAGCTGTATGAGATTAGCTAATGTTCTTTTCTGTGATGGGCAAAGTGAATTCTGGGATTCAGCATTGTACCTGGCTGCAGTAGTGTGAAGTTATGCTTCAACAGCATCCCATTGTAATAGAGGATTTTGAAGGTCCCTGGTGTGTTTCAAATCAGCAAGAAATAATTTTTGAAAGTAAAAAATAAAGAGTTTGAGCCAGTGTTCAGAACAAATACATGGGAGTAGCAAATGTTTGAATATTAGCATTACGCCTAGCCATGTAACAATAACTAAATGAAGCATGTATTTAAAACTTGGTGAGAGGTTTTCCTGTATTTTAGTTCTGTTTGGCTCAGCAGGTGTGCTGCACTTTAGATTTCAGTCTCCAGGGCTGTCAATCCAACAACTTTCACAGGTGCTATGTTCACTTAAAATCTGAAAGAGAAAAATAGAAGGGGATGATGTTAATAGTACTTAGCACTTATGCAGCTTTTTGCTTCCTCAAAGTACAGTGCAAACATGAAGTAAGTAACAAGCACTTTGTCTTGGAGATGCACATGCATCTAAACAGTCTTTCAGCAAAGAGAATAGAGATGTAAGATCAACTTTTACCCAAATGCACATTTTCAAGAGTAAATAGTGCAGTGAGGCATTTGTTGTATCATTTATCCTTGTTGTATCTCAGTAAGTCCAGCTTGTGGAAACCAAGAGTGTATATCAGCGTGCAGATCTCCTTCTTCATTATGTGAAGGACTTACTGTAATAATATCAGATTTTATTTGATGGAATGCCTGCTGTAGGAAACCACTGGCAAGATATGCAAGAGGATGTCATTGAGTAGAGGCAAGATATACTGTTAGACTGCACAAATGTACCATGTATTTATACTGCCTCTGGTATGTGCAGCAATTCTGCTATGCCTGCTTCTCTCCATTAGCTCCACTGCCTACCTACCGTATATTAAATGCTCTGAATATGACCAGAATGGCTTGGACTTCTAAACAGATAACAGTCGTCTGAACTTCTTGCTTAGAAAGATTCAAGTCTTAAGAGGAGAGAACTAGAAAAGATGGATTCAGTTGGCTTTAAGGGAATTGAAATCTTCCCATGGAGAAAAAGGGGCAGACTAAGGATGAAAGTACAGGTCTCAGACTCCTGTTTTCTAGAAATTAAGAAAGATGTTGATAGCTATGGTGTTGGTAGCTGTGTGCTTTTCTCTGGTGAAAATAAAATATGAAAAAGTTCAGTGGTGTTTTCAAAGCTGCAAGTAGACTTCTAAGTCAGTTTGAAAATTAAAGTGTTGAGTTATTCTGGGCTGAGACCACCAGGGGCTAGTAGTGCAGATCAGCTAGGATTGAGAGAAAAGTCTGCTGGAGAATTGGCCATCTCACTCAACTCTTCATTTTCAGACCATTATGCCTTTAGGATGGCAAATCTGTCAAATTTTCAATCTCCTCCAGTAATAGGGTTTTGGCAGGAGCTGACAGGGGCCAGTGCTGCAATGTACTCATGCACAGTTAGGTAACCAATGCACGCTTCATTCGAGTGAGGCACAGAAAGCTTCTGAAAGTTACTGCATTATAGTCTGGCTGCATGCTGAACTCAGCTGCTGAGAACAAAAGAAGTGTGAAGACTTGTTAATAAAAGTCTGTTCAGATTTCATTACTGTGAGTAGCCAAATCAAGACAATACAGAGCTTGCTGAACGTTGAAGAATTTCAGTCCCATGGAAATTCTTTTCTGCACTGACTGTTGTTCCCAGCTGAACCTCTACACAATGCAAACAGGTCTCCTCTGCTACCTTTGAAGAATAGGGAATGGAGGTACCTTTCTAGTTGGAGAGAGTATAAGAGAGGAAGAAGAAGGGAAAAGAATGGAGAGAGGTTCTTGTTTCTCCACATCACACACTGGAGAAAAAGCATCCAGCTCAATTTTGGTTTTCCTCCTTTTTAACTTTTAAAGCTAGAAGGGGAAACTCCTTTGAATGCAAGAGGAGCATGTATGGCTGGCATTGAGGATGGAAATCTGGCAGACTGTTGTGGCAGAAGTGAGAGCATTTGGAAAGGGTGTAACGAACTGATGGTTTATGAGATAAGTAGTTATAGGTTAAAAAAATTTGTTATATTCCAGTCAGAATTGGCAGATGCTATGTCCTATCAGGCTCTAACATGGCTTACTGTCAAAAGCACCTTGTTGATTTAGGTATGGAGAAGTTACATATCAAGGCTAACTGGAAGAGACCTTAGAGGAACTTGCTCATTTCTTCACAGTGGCTTTGGCCTCTGAGGAGTGAAGTAAAACTGAGTATTTCTGGAATAAAGTGGCTAAGGTTGTATCTTCAGCTACGTGACCAGCGCTAGCATTTAAACAGTTTGAAGAATTCACTGATGTTTTTCAGATGGCTAAGAAAGATGCACGCTAACCTATGACAGACTTGGCATGTGATGTAGGCAGGGCCTTTTTTCCCCACAAGACGAAACCTTTCCACTTTCATCATTGTGATCTTCTTTGTTGTGGTCTTTTTAATGTTCTGCAAGCTTTACTTAGGTATTTATTAAAGCTTTTAAACGCTTAGGTCTTGATGACATCAGATGTAGGTCTCCTAACCATCAATGCTGCTCTTCCTCTCTGTATCAGTCATCTGTAAATAACTACTAATAAATGACACAAAATGCTTCCTGGGAAGCTGAGTCAGTTCTGTTCACTATTATTCTGTGATGCTATCAGTGTAATTCCAAGCAATTCACAAAGGTTAGTAAAATCTTTTTATTTTTGACGTGACTTTATTTTTTGTTGTCCACTTAAAATTTGATATGTATTAAGAAATATATGATTAATGACCAGAGTTGATAGAGAAATGATTCAGGCAACACGTTTTAAATAACACACTGCCATACAAATTTTACATTATTACTGAGTGATAATGTAATATAGTTAACAAATACCTTTCTCTCTAGTTGAACTCCTTTGTCATCAAGTAGAACAGAGTCATTTGCACCTTGTATTATGTCATGGCTTTAGGTGTTATGTTTGCATGCAATACTTAGCAACATAAGAAGATCCAGAAAGGTGGTGTTTCATTTATGTCATCACTATAATTTTTGCTGAAGAGTTGCTTAACAAATCATTTTGCTTATATGAATTGTTGAGTGTTGTAGTCATTGGATAAAATATCTATTTAATAATAGATTTCAACTGAAAGAGAATTTTGTTTATTGTGACTGTCACCCCAGTATAATACTAACACTGTGCCCTTTTAAATAATGTATTGCACCTGGATTTTAAAAAGAGATCATTTGTTTTAAAAAAAAAAGAGAGTCCTGGAAATGGAAGGGGAGGGAGATGTTCCTGATACTGCAAAATTTACTGTCTGAATTCCATTTAACATTGTAAAAGAAAAATGCAGAATGTAAGGCCTGTTCTGTGTATGAATATTTATTCGAAGTATTTTCTTATGCGTTGCCTTTCTGTAGCTACATGGTGTTCTCCTGCACTATTTCCCAGCACAAGAGGTAATGCCCTGCTCTGAAAAAGTATCCATTAAAATTTTTATCAATTTTGTGTTTTGGTGAGACAGTATGAGGAAATGCCATTGGAAAATTAGATTCCTCTTTGACATCAGGCGCCCAGTCAACAATCCAATCCCATACGTTTCTACTGAGACATTAGGATTTGATATAATTTTGGGCAGAAAACATTTTAAAATGAAACAATTGAATTTTCTAGATGGTCTTGGGGACCACTTAACTTAAGAGAATACACTTCCAAATCAAAACCCTTTCAATCATTCTAAATATTATTTGGATGATATTTGCTTTATGTGTAGTAGCAGTTTGAATTTGTATTGAATGTTTGACTGGCTTGTGCTTGCATAGATGATGTATGAAATTATTATTTCATATTTTTCTAGTGTTTGCATTGCAAGTGACATCTGGCTGACAGGAATTTGGAGAAATGGGATACGAAGTGAATGCTGTAGTTACCACAGCATCGTATTTATCAAAAGGCTTAAGGTTGGTTTGTCTTTGTTTAACATATGAAACTCACTATAATGAATAAAAAACAACACTTTTTTTTTTTTTTTTTTTTAACTAAGCTGCTTAAAAAATAAGATGGTTGAAGGAAAAATGTTAATCAAAGTTTCTATTCTAGTAATTGAATTAATTAGTGAATAAAATAATGCACATTTGCTGAAAGACAGTTCTCAACGTGTATTTATATTTCCTATTATCCCTTTAAATTCTGGTTAATGATATATAATTCATATACATTTTATCATAGAGATAGGTAATTCTGAAATAAGCTTCTACAGCAGACTGGCAGAATTTTCTTTTTAAACTGTAGGTCTCTAGTACTAAAATCTAGAATTGAGCTTAATTCTGGTTGCATTATAACTTTGAAATGTGCCTGTTAAAATGCTGTATTCTGCCATTGTCCTACCCTAACGCTCCTTCATGAAGCTTCTGGTATTTTACTTGTCTAATGGTAATTTTTTTTTCTTGATAGAATATATTGCAGGTTTTTAAAATGAACCTATTTGATATTTAGTATAAAATATATTATTTTCTTTAGAAATATGATTTCAGCCTTTAAGAAAGGCATTTTCAAAATGCATGCTGTTTGTGAGGAAGCTCTGCCATGTTAAAGAACAATGACAAAAATGATATATTGGAGTGTACAGCATCTTGCCATGCCCTGGCAGAAGGAAGGAATTGCCTATGCCACTCTGACTAGAAGTGTCTCTTGGACAGTCTTTGTCACTCAATTAATATCATTCAACTGATTATTGAGACTGAAATCTGTGTGAAGGAAACCCACCCTACAGAAGTCTCCCATTAATTCCCAGCAGTCCTGGAAAAGAATGAACGTGGAGGCTGTTATACATACAGATGGGGAATTTAGAGGAGAGAAGCAATTAGAGAAGTTGTGTAGACATAGTGAGGAGGATAAAACAGTCTGAGGAGGGGTGGGACAGGATGGGGATGGAGTTGATTTAAGGGAGAGAAAGAGATGTCAGACAAAGTAATCCAGAAGAAATTGTTTCTGTACTGCTACCAAGTGATTATCTGAATCTATGAAGTTGTCAAGCTGAGAGCACTCAGCATCTTCTGGGACTCAGACCTGTCCTTTTAAATGAATTAAAAATCCAGCTTTGAGATCCAATTCAAGAACAGAAACAACTACCAATGACTTTTATTTAGGTCTGCAGCAGCTTGGGGACTGGTTGGAAGGGAGTGGCAGGAAATGAATAAAATGCTTCAAAATTGTTCAAAGACAATAATTCTGTTCCCCTAAGAGCTCCTCAAGTGGAGCCCATCTATTTACTGATGACGCAGGGAGTTTGCCTATTCTCCCTTGTTAGATATCTGCAGTATGATTCTCCTCCACTCTGCTTCTCTCTCCCCTTTTCCAAACATCTCCAGTCAATAAAGAGACATCCATTGACATACTCTCCTTTGAAAGCACTCATGAACTTTCATTATTATTATAGGGGGGAAAATGTCAGACAATTGAACAAAACACTGAGATGTTGATCAGATGAGCAGAGTAAATTAGAGCATTCAGAGCAATGTGTATTCTGAGTATACCAGTAACAAGAACAGGACTGATGAGAAAAGCAAGCAGTGATACTGTGGCACAGTCTGCTGCTGTCTCTACACTGTGATATATGAGACAACGATAATTTAGCCCATTTTACTGATGCTCTGTAATAATGTATATTATACTTGTTTTTGTCTACTTCACTGTCTATCTTAGCCACACACTCAGATTTTATCAGCTTCTGGTTAAGCTTGCTAGACTTCCTATGTGCCAACATAAACGAAAGAAAGCAAGGAAGTGGTTAAGTCATTCAACACCCCATTTACGTGCCCTCTTCAATTCTCTTCCACAGTCTCAACTACCTTACTTCTAATGTCTGTAGTCCACACATTTCCAACTCTGTTGTGACTACCTTAGTTTTCTTCTGCTTGCCAGTCAAGGCAATGTTTCCTTGGCCTGCTGGATGATTTTAGATTTTCTATTTTTAGCAGTTGCACTCCAGACAAAGAAAAGATTATGAATTCAATTTAAAAAAAGATTATGAATTCAGTTAAAAAAAAAGATTATGAATTCAATTAAAAAGATAAAATATGATCATGACATTTTGTTACAATTCAGATCCTAAGACAGAAAGAAAACAGCATAACTGTAGAATGGACAGTTCTGAAACTGAAGATGCACATTCTGCATCCTTTGTGTTGTGATATTTCAGTAAAAAGACTTGTGGGTATAATTTTGGCAGAATATTATTATTTATTTATTTGTTTGTTTGTTTGTTTGTTTGTTTGTTTATTAATAATACTTCTATTACTGCATTGTTAGAAATCTGCTCCTAAACTTTGATGTGATATTATTCTGTACTGCACTGTGTTTCGTAGCTGGATTTAGTCTTTCAGACCTACTTTTTTCAACTTTACTTTTCTGCAGCATTATGATAGCGACTATACTGCTAGTCCAATCAGCCAGCTTCTTCTGTCACCTTCAGTTATGATTTCACTTTCTTTTTACAAATTGAGTATGATTGTTTTTGCTTGTTGTAATATTGGAATTTCTATCAATACAATGATTCCTTTTTTTTTTTGAGAGCCAAGTGTCTAGGAAATGCTTCATCATTCTTTAAAATTATCTTTGTGTGAAGGGTAGTAAATCTATGCTTCTCTTTAATAATTTGTATTTGGTCTTTCACCAGAACAAGGATAGGTCAGACTTTCTTTACTGCTCTTTTCAACCATCCTTGGCTTTTGCTGAAAATCAGGTTGGCCCAAGGTCTGATCCTTTGATAATGGTATCTTGGCACTTTCTTCTGTTTGTGTGAAGATAAAAGTGAATGAGAGGTACTCAATATAAACAGCCCTCCTCCCACTCACCTCCCCCACAGTTCTTCCCAAGTCTAGTATGAACCTACATCTACAAATACCTTCTGGAGTTCTCTACACAATGTTACAGCAAGTAAAGATACTAGTAAGTGAATTTGGAGGCATTTTTAGAAACTGTGTGTATGTAATTAAAGCCAGAGCAAAATTATTATCCTTTATTTTAAGATTAAAATTAGTATTAGCTGTGATGGATTGATGAGCTGTTTGAAACATTTCAGTACAATAGCAGGTATTGAATATCCTTTAAAAATATGGTTAGTAGAAAGCAGCAGAAGGGGAAAATACATATGGCCATAAGCACACAGCGATGGCCACAAACCTGAGGTTTCTTCTCCTTCTTCCCTTCCCCCATTTTGTTCCCAGTTCTTCTCTTTAGAAGAGACTGCGGATAAACAGCAATCTCAAGGTATGGTACCATAACAAAAGCACTCCAAAGAGGATGGAATGGGAAAAGGGAAGATCCCATAGGACAGCTCACGCAACACTGATACTCACAGTTTGTAGTTCACACTGTGTTCTCACATTCAGAAAAAAAGTATAATTGAGACCAATTCCCTAACTGACAAGAGTCCATTTAAAGCTGAATTACAACTGACAATAAAACATTTTAAAGAAATCTCATCCTTCCTTTGTTATTAACTTTGTTTTCTCTGTTATGCCAACGGCAGCACAAAAACACAGAAAGAGAAAAGGAAAAATGATTCTCAGCTGCATTGGAAAAATAAAAATGTTTCACAACATTCTGCTAAACAAGGACCCCAAATTACAGACACTAGGAGAAATTTGAGACATAATAGTTAGGTATTTTTCTCTGCATTCCATTTGTTTTTCAGTCACCTCCCCCGTATTTTATTTTATTTTTTTCTGCAAGCTCTCTCATATCTAGCCTGGCTCTGGGCCATTATGAAGCTTTGTCATGGCTCTCATTTTCCTTCTTTACCTTAACTTCTCAGAGTTTCAGGGTAGCTTAGAGGAGAATTTTGCCTGCTTGAAACGTTCACATGAATGGCAGTATACCAGTGTATAGGAAGGTGCTTCTAATTATAGTTTAGATGAGTTTCAAGTCTTGTCTCTGACAGTTGTAGCCTGGATATAAACAGAAGGCAAGACTTCAGAAAACCACTTACAGCTCTCTGGTATGGCTAAATCTCATGGACCACATGCAGATATTTTTGGTGGCTAGTTTTGGCCTGAGTTGGTTAACATTTTGATACAATCTTTTCATTTTCTCTCCTCCAGATTTCTTTTTTCAATAAAGTTGCAGTTCTGAGTTCTTAACAACAAATAAGTCTGTTTTTTGTATGTGTTCATCAAACTGTACTTCACAGACTGGCCGTAGTAAACCCAACCTGCTGACTCTTCAAACAATTGTGGCATTCAAATCAGAAAATCATGCCATCTGGATAACTTCTATAGTGATGCTAATAGCTGTAAATTCCACTCTCACCTCTAGGGATGGAGAATGTCCTAACTGCGTGACCTTCCTGAGACATATGTAGGTATCTAGTCCTTGTGTGTGAACTGATCCTTTTTCAGTCTCATGTTCAGATATAACATGTTTCAAAGTTTGTCAGTCCTAGACCATAGCCATAAATGTTTTGAAGTCTAGAATGCTTGGAAGCACTGCTTTACCAGCAAAGTAAATACCCTGAAATCTTAGAAACAGCAATCCCATTTCATGGATAAAATAAAATAGTATTTAGATTATTATATCATAACCATACCCATGTGATTGAAGATGGTGAGGTTCTCATAAAAATGTCTGTCTGCTTTCCTTCTGATAAGCAACTCCCTCTTTCTACCAGCAATCATTTCAGCATAATATATTTTCAAAGTAATCTTTCCTTGATCAACAGACTACACTGTTCTATCATTTTGCAGGTTTTCTTTCCTTCATGGGTGAATACTTCCACCAAATTGCATTTAGTATCTATTAACTTGGATTTGTAAAGGATCAAATGGCTTCTGTATCTCATTACATTGTTCTTTGTAATTTGTAATTTCTTCCAATTCGATACTATTGCATACTTAAACTTTATTTCTGTTCCATCATTCTATCTTAAACACAAGATTCTGAAGTATTGGTCTTATGAAAT